ACTATTTCCTATAGATCATTTTCCAGATGGTTCTGCTATGATTAGTGTCTGGCAAAAAGCTTCGGCTGATATTTCTTTTGCAACATCTCTATCAACAATTGGTCCAGTTAACAACAAATTAAACAACAAGTTAAAAAAAAACAAATAAGTCAATGTAAACTTTGTGATATTTTGCTAGAAGAAAATATTTTTGTAGACAACTTTTGCTACAATAATAGTAATTTTTTTTAAGCTTGCAAAGGTTTCTTTTATAATTTTATACTTCATTTAAATTATGATGTTGCAGCTTGATAGGAAAATAAATGTTTTTGTGGAGCTAGGGTTGTTTGATACTTGTTAGGTTTTTTTAGATCATATTGCATTTGACCATATCAAGTTCTGTTTCTCTGATGCTTGTTAGGCTATGTTTGTATTAGGCCTTATTGACATAAGCAGCTGCTTGAATGGGCTAAGAAAATGATCAAAAAGAAATGTTAAATATATATATATAAATTATTATAAAATATGTTTATAGCTTAATTATAAAATACATTAAATGAAACATTCTGATTAATAATTAAAAATTTAACTTGCTTATAATTGTGATACTGAAAAAGAATAAAAAAAGCTACTCTTGTTGTGCATCATTTATTATAAACACAGTGAAACTGTTTATGTTTTTAAGTCAAAATGAAGACTAACTTTACAGTTGTAAAACAAACTCTTATTGGAAAAAAATTATAAGAATGTATGAAGAAGTCTACAACAAGATAAGCATTTATATATTTTTTTTTCAATTGACCTTAATGCCATCTAGTTTGGAGTTGGCCAGTATACTTGTAAGCCAAGAATTTTTGCACCCAGTGGCTGGCCCAGTCAGCAACAATAGAGTGCATGCTTTGTGACAGAGATTCGAACTTATGACCCAGATTGCAAGTCGAGTGCACTAGCCACAAGGCCATGCCAGGTGTAACATTTATAGTTTCCAGTAAAAAAATATCAAAAAGAAATATTTTCAGATTTTCAAAGCTGAGAATTCATACAAATATTTAATCGAAAGATATGATGTTTTACAGAAGCTACATAATATGTAGGGTTAATTGAATTTTTTTCCTTAGAATATGTTAAAGAACAGAAGTGTATTATACTGCTGTACAATTTATTATTCATAAAGCTTATTGCTGTTGTCTCCATTTCAGTTATCACAATAGTTATAAACAATGATTATTTATCTTATTGTTTTTTAAAGCTAGAAGATGGGCCTCTGACATTTCTTGACCAAATATATGGACCAATAACCTTGAATATTTCTGAAACTGAGGGAGATCCAGTAAGTTTTATGTAGTATTACATTATTCTTCAAATGGAATGCTTTGTTTAATAATTTTAAGTATTTCAAAAACTTAAGTAATTTTTTTAAAACCAAAAATACTGTGTATAATCAATACATGATACCCAAAACTATGTAAATAATTGCTTAGTGTTTCAGATCAGTGTTGTTTTTTTCTACATTTGCCATTGATAATCAAATTAAAAACTTATAGCTGTAGCTTTTGAAACTTAAAGTTGTGATGCTTCAAAAAGACCAAGTTTTAACTCTCACTTTCATGATATGCCATAACTATTTACCAATGTTTTTAAAACATTATTTAAGACTAATAATTTCTAATGTCTGCTTATGTAAAAGTTTGTATAATAAAATTATATACTTTATTGTCCATAAAATTAGTCTGATTTGACAGTTATGACTTTCAAAAATTTCCCTTCCAAAACTTGTAAATCTAATAGATTTTGACCAGAATTTACATCTCTGAATGTATTTATAGTTAAACTGTACGTATAAGTGTAATGAGTGATTAGGTTATGAACAAAGTTTCATTTCCCAGATGGTCATTTCAGGCTTGTTTGAGAAATACATTTATTACTCATTTATTTTGTCTTTTAGTTCTGATTCCAGTTAGGTTTTGTTTTAATTATTACCTCTATTGTAAAAAAAAACTTTTCCAGACATGCCTCTCACCCAAGACATATGTTTGGGCTAGTACTTAAAATATATTGAATTTTAAACTAATATTTATATTCTAATGCAAGTTAAAGTGTAGTCTTGTAGACTATTTAAATATTTAGGTATTTGGTGGAAAAGTGTTTATTTTTTACTTTATTTTTGTAATCAATTGTAATCTTTAAAGAAATATTATAGTGTAAATTAGCAATGAATCTGTTCAAAGTAGAAGAATGAAACTCATTTTGTAATTATAGTTTCTATATGATTTTTATAAAATATATTTTTTGTTCTTTAAATTTCTTGTTTCTTTATTAAGACAATTGAGTTTTAAAATGTTAATAAACTTTCCAAAACTAAGACTATCTTTGTAACACAGTTTCAGTTTCCTACACCATGGGCTGTCCCAGGTGTGTGGCCCCTCCCAATACTTAACTATGAAACCTTTCTTGTTTTCAGATGATTAGTCAAAATATTCAGCCGATACAATAAGAGTATAACAAACTGACTTTCAATCCAAATTGTCTAGTAACAGATACTGCATGATCAGTAACAGTGTGATTGTTTTGTCCTGCATGTGTCTTAAATGGGAAATGTTTTTATGAGATTTATATGTTAACTGTGAACTTGAATGCATTAATAAACCAGTTACAATTAATATTGATTGTTTTATTCATTCGTTTTTTCTCAACCTACAATTTAAATAGTTACTAGCAAGTATAATTTTTCACCTTACTCACTGAGAATGTTTTGATAAGGTTTTTTTATAAAATGCAGATCATAATTTTCAGTAATTTCTGTTTAAATTCTTCTTAACTCACTTAAGAATATAAAAAATATTTACTTGACTATGACAACATTTTCATATTAGTGTTTTTTTTTTACTTATTTTTTGCATGTCTCACTGTGAATAATTACCTAACATATATAAAAATTTTCTATCTTAATTAATATCTATTATGTAGATTCATGAGAGAAATGTAATTTTTGTGTTTAGTTGTTTAAAAAAATGTAATGTTTAAAGATATTGCAGGGTACATACATATACCAGTAAATTATGAAACAACTCAAAATATAATTTGTGTTAAAGGGTGGATGCTTTCATATTAATTGCAATAAATTTATATAAATCAGTTTTCACTCAGTGTAATGGGTTCCTGTTTGACATTTCTGTTTTTGAAGATTCATTTTAATTTTCATTTTTAGTTATCTTCTTAATCCATTTGAAATATTAATGATTCAGTATTGATGCAGGTTATAATAAAAAGTGATGGCTACCCAACATACCATTTAGCTTGTGTTGTTGATGACTATTCAATGGAGATCTCTCATGTTTTGCGTGGCGTAGAATGGCAGGTGTCTACACCAAAGCATCTGATGATGTATCAAGCCTTTGGTTGGACACCTCCAGTCTTTGCTCACCTTCCACTTCTCTTAAACAGGTGAGACATATGGCTAATTATTTCTATTATAATATAATTAATAATCATATCAGTGATCTCATAACTAATACAGCATCCGTTGAATGTATTGTGAATGATATGATTATATAAACTGTTGTTGCTTCATTAGCACAATTCAATGTTGAATGATATTTTGAGTTATGTTTAGCATTTTTATTCTTTTAGATATCTTCAGATTTTTCTTATTTATATTCTGTTGCAATTTATAAAAATTAGTTCCAGAATTAACATTTTTAAGATGGTATCATTAGTGTAACTATCCTAGAAGAGTAAATGTGCAAGATATATTTAGTTCTGAAATTATTCTTTTCACTTAGTTTTTGAAAAAAGTTTGAGTTTTTCTTAATTAAGGGTTATTAGTTTTCTTAAGCTAAATGTCAATTGTGTAAACTTTATATTTGTGTTTCGAGTTTAATGAATAAGTTTACAGAATTAAGAAGGAAAAACACCATCTGTAGTTACTTAAACTACAATTAAGTAACAAGAGACTACATCTTCATCTCTTAGCACCACAAATTACATGTATACATTGTGCTAGCTTAAATATGCAGTTTCCCCACTTGGGGTTTGATTTGAATGTAAATTTCTGAAGGTAGATACAAGGAGTAACATGTGTAATGTCATATTGTAAATAAACAAGCTGAACAAAAAAGACTGAACAACATTATATTTATTAACAAAATTTGTGTTTTTATTTATTTAGTCTGCTTTTTATTGTGTATTTTAAAAAATAATAGGCAATATTATAAAAACCACTTGTGTACATAAGGATTAATTTAAATATTTTAACTTAATACTTATGTGTAGAAAGACTTTTTTTTCAAGAGTTTAACCCTGTAGACACAATAGGGTCAAAATTTACATGTCATAAATTTTTATGGGGTTACATTCAGAATTTAATTAAAATACTTTATCAGTATATGTTAATGAATTTGGAATCAAAACGTAATTTATAATTCAAATTTTTACACTCTCTAAATTTTTAGTTTCTTAATTTCAAAAGGAAATATCTCATGGTGGTGTTCTGACTTCTTATTTAATTTTTTTTTCTCTTCCCTTGTAAGGACTTCAGATTATTCAACCAATTAGAAACACATACTATAGATATTGTCAAGTCAGAATATAAAATTTCAATATGTTCTTGCTCTGTTGAAAAACCACTATATTTGTTCAATCTACATGATACGTTCCTTTCATATCCTCTATCTTTTAAAAAAATGTCTGTCTGTAATTCTTGCCATTGATTTTTACATGTTTATAATCAAAGAAAGAGCATATTCTAAACAACATAAATTGTACAACTGCCTATTTTGAATTAGTGGTCAAAGCCAATAGTTTGTGAGGAGAGCTTGATGTGTTTAGACTAAATATGTTGCTCTGAACAGTAATGGAATTTTGAAACTCATTAATAGGTTAGCTAGAAAGTCAGGTAAATTATAGCAGTTTTTGGACATTCTTCCTGATATAGTTGTTGTGTTCTAAAATGTGTATTTGAAAGTTGCCTGAATTATTTTTAGACAGCAACATAATGAAAAAAAAAACATTGGTTTATTAAACCATGCACCCAAGTGCAAAAGGCCCCAAGGCTAAAGTACTAAATGTTTTGTATGGTGACATTTTGGACAGCCTTTTACCACCTCCTTCAATTACCATGCAGTCAAGGGCTATGTCTATCAATATTCACGTTTTTTTTTGTCGACCATTCATTGTCATAGTTTCCCACATATGATACCTTTTCTCTGTTGTTAGTTTACCCTTTCTACAGGGATTTCAGGGTCTATGCTGTTTAGTTTATAACTCAGTTACATTCTGGACTCTGCATTTTTTTCTTGGACTCCCAAACCTTCAGGTCTTTCAGTCAGCATGGGGATCACACCCTGAAAATGTAATGTATTTTTTCCAGATCCAGTTTTAGCATTTGTGTCTACCCCTTCCCCACTTTCTTCATTGCCTTTTCGTACATGCCTCTCCTCACCATTTCTATCCACCAGGCCTCTGTGGGATTGTTGTGGGAGACTCGTACCCTCCCTTTCTTCCTCTCCTTTTGTACCTATATACTTGGCTCCTCCATTAATGGGACTTTCTTTGTGGTGCACACTATTTACTCAAGTGTGTCTCCATCCTCCAGTTCTTTCTTGACCTCCATTTGGCACCATATTGGCAACTGTTTGGGAATTTTCCTACCTGATTGGTATCCAAAGTGGTATTTTCTCATCAGTTTTCCCTCCTTGTTTTTCGACATTTTGAACCCTATTATGGCTTGTTCCTGTGTCATGCACTCTTCCTTCCTTCCCTTTCCCAGTGCCCCTTTCCAGGTTTTTGGGCAAACTGCATTTGCTATATGCATTCACCATAGATACTTGATACTTTATGTTTGGATAGGACTCTTCTCATCCTACACTTCTCACAGACTTTTTCCTTACCTTTTCCTTGGTATCCCTTTTTTTCTCAACAGCATCGGTAGGGTTTCTTCTCAATTGAAACACTATCTTACTGGTCAGTTACCCTTATCTGGAGTTCTGTTCCTGGTTGTTTGTAATTCGTTATTACAGGTTGACATCCTGTAATTATTCTCTAACCTTTTCATTGACCCTCCTCTCTAAAGGTCGTTTTTGCCTGGTGGCTCTACAGGGATGTAACCCTGGCTGGTGATCCTCTTCCACCTCCCTGTTTTGTACCTTTTACCTCATACATCTTGTGGGTTGGGAGGTATATATGGAATCTCATGAGGTCACTTGTCTTTGGTCGGGTCAAGGTCCCACATCACTCTTTTGAAACTTCTTGCAATTCGTTGGGTGTTGGATCATTTCCTCCCTTTAGTACTTAGCAGGTAGGTCATTATCAAATTTGGCTGTTTGACCATTGTCTCTTCCAATTATCGACTGTGGGGCATCTGTTCTTGGGTTCTACGGTATAGAGGGAGTAAGCTGAACTAGGAGGGTGTGTTGCACTCCTATTGTCACATGCTCATTTGCACGCTATAATGCAGCTCTAACATGTGCAAACACACTAATGTAGGTGGGAGCACAAAGCTAGTGGTGAGCAAAAATTTGTGCATATAGAAGGCAGTACTTGTTGAGAAAAGCTATTATGTGAGAGGAGGTAGGTGTCTATCGGAAATACATTTTCAGTGTAGGAATATGTTAACTTTGCTTTATTTTTAGCAGTGACCACGTTCAACTAAGGAAGAAACTACTAGTGTAAATTATATTTGAGAAGTTTTTGTAGAATGTAACAGTTAATACATATCTCCATCATTGCATGTTCTGTGACATGTACAAATGTTGCATCAGTATTGTCACTACCTATTAAGTAACTTTCCAAGTGGCTTTTTCTCTTCTTGCATGTTTATTATGCACTAGAGAACTGTTTTAGTCTCAGTGCCTCCTTATATTAAAGATCATATACAAAATAGTCGGTAATGTTTCTTTAATAAAAATAGATGTTTTTCACTTGAATATTGGAAAGTGTTCCATTTTTATTTTCAGTTTATCTTTCATGGAACATATGCTGAATTGTTTTATTACCACACAGTAAATATACAAGTGCAAATAATTAGTTGATAAAAGAAAGCGGATCTTTAGGTTAAGCCTCTAGCTTATAAATCTTTATCAAGCATAATTACTAGAAGTTTTGAGTGACCCGATTGAAACATTTGAAAATTATAGAATTACAGAGATTACAATAATTATGGTTTATATGCTATAATGAATTATACGACTGAAAAACTGTTTTATGTCTTTTTACATAAGTTGTAACATTTTAATACAGATGTAGCACTTTTAAAGCCTTTTAAATTGAAATTGATGTGAAAATTATAAGCACGTTCATAAATTTTAATATCTTTGCTTAAATTAGATAATGGCAACATACTGCACTTTTAAGACATGGTACATGTACAAACTATATTCTGGTTCTAGTGATATAAGCTAATATACAAATTCACATGCCTTATAAAATATACCTGAAATATTCTTTTTGTCATCAGAGATGGGACCAAATTATCGAAGAGACAAGGAGATATTCATGTTGAGAATTTCAAGGTACGTAATGTAAACTTATAATGATCAATGTAGAACATATTTATGTAAACATCTTTACTGTAAAAATCATGTAGATTTAGTTTATGATGTATATCTTTATGTTTTTATACATAGATTTACATTTTTTTTAATTTGAGGGAATCATAACATGTATATACACAATGTGTATGTTTTATTTCAGGAATTTGTGATCTATAAGATAAAATTACAGGGTATTGGTTTATTACTAGTCTATTAATGGAGTTTGGAACCCTGCAGGCCTATCTTATAACTGTGTGTGTGTGTTTGTTTACATATGGATAAATTGAGAGATTTATGCTGGGTTCTTTCAATCAAAATCTTTAGCTTAACACACTAAGTGCAACTTCCAACATTTCTTCTAGTTATTCTTCCGTCTGATCCAAAATATTATTTTTTAACAAAACATTTTGAGAAAGAAAATGATCACCTCTTTCACCTTGGAGAAACTATAATACATAAATTCATGAATAATTAAATAGCATCTGCTAACATACCTGTCTCAAAATTTCAATTAATTTTTGTCCTCTTTTTTTTTAGGCAAAGCATAGTCTTGCAGAAATTAAATTCAGATATGAATAAGAGTTTTTATCCATAAATTAAGCTGCAAATGGTTTTCAAATTATACTTTTGGATTCAGAATAAGTTTCAAACTAAAGACTGCTTGGGTGACTGTAAAGCATCCTATATTGGAAAAATCCTATGTCAGTTAAACAGAACTGTTCAGAAAGGTTGAAATCCTTATGGTTTCTGTTCAGAAACTTTTTGAATCTTATGACCTTCCTATCCATATACACAGACAAAAAAATGAAAAATCAGTTTCTATTGACAAGTTAAACAACAATCTTAGTTCCTTTCTACTATGTTCCCCAGTGGGACAGTGGTAAGACTACGGACTTACAATGCTAAAATTCTGGGTTTGATTCCCCATGGTGGATACAGCAGATGCCCAATGTGGCTTTTCTCTAAAACACTAAAGATGAGCCTTTCTACTATTTTTATTTTAAATAAAAGACATTTTTATACAAAGATAAACTTATTTTTATTCTGACTCCTTTAAAATATTCTTGTTATATATATTGTTTGCACTTTTAGTTTTAAGTTTTTAATTTGTTAAACTTCTAATAAGAAACTGCAATTATTTCTGCATGTTATATATATTCTTGAAATTGTTACCAATGGTAGTTTTATATCTTAAATATCATTTTAATAAATATGACCTAATCTTAATATTGGGGTTCTACATACTCCTAGTTAAATAAAATCTTGGAAATATAGTTTAAAGGTAATGTTGAATCTAATAAATTTATCAACATCCAATCAATGAAATTATAAAACAAAATAAAAATTAGTAAGTTGTATGTTCCGTATCTTGCTGTTTTGTCTTCTAAACTTAGGTAGAATTATTTTTTTATGTTAACACATCCTATGTTTTGCATTAAGGTGTGTTAGATCAACATCAAAACATTAATTTTCTACATTGTATGCTCACATGAAGATGGTGCATATAGTAGTACACTTTTTTGTTGTTTTTGTTTAGGGGTTCAGTAATAATGTTACATTTTACTTAAAAAATATAACATTTGTAGGTGAAATGTCAAATATCCCAAATTATTCAATAATTTTATCATGAGAAAAGAATACATTTGTCTCATACTTTGTGGATTTTACTTTTAATATTGATTGGTTTCATGATAACTTTTTTTTATATATATATAGAATGAAGGTTACTTCCCAGAAGCAGTGATAAACTTTATTGTTAACATTGGTGGTGGATTTGGAAAGCACCAAAGGAAGCTGTTTCCAATTGAGGAATTAATCGTAAAGGTAAAAAATTTCCTTGAATCAGAATATTAGTATTATTTGTTACACCTATTATTATTTTATGTTTGGTAGTTAATGACAGTTAATGGTAAAAGGCAAATAATTTTCCATATAATGAAAGATATAGGAATGAGGAAATATTTTATTTTCATTTCATTTAACCCATTCACTGCAGCTGGGATGTATATTTCCAAATGTTCCCACCCCCCTCCTCATGCTGCAACTCGGAGAAATGTTTCTCATTTGTCGACGCTGTTTACACCTTCCTCTGTTCGGTCCAGGTTCATCATCTTGACTATCATCACTAGATGGATAGTTAGCATCCTCCTGTCTCATTGCCTTTTCATCATCATGCATTTGAATACCATTTGACTCACTTTCACTATCTTCTAAGCTATCTGAGTCAAGTGCATCAAGCATATTTACATAGTAATTAGGGTTATTACTTTCTACTCCAGCAATGCGGGCACGTTTGGCACGCAGTTGTTGTATATTCTGCTTGGGCATCTTGTTTGTTACTGAAGAGCTGAGTGGAAAACATTGAAGGAAACTATATATCAACATTAGGTGGAATGCCAATAAATACTTTCCAACTCATTTTACTCCAATATGTCATGCATGGCAATTTTGAGTGACAATGGGAAATATACGTCCCAGCTGCAGTGAAAGGGTTAAGTTTCATGATAGCACTTTTGGTCAACTTGTGTATGCCTTCCAGGATGGTCCTCAAAATCGAAAGTTTGAATTTCCTTCATGGTACCCCATAATTTTTTTACAATCTACAATATAACATTGCATGTAAGATTTCACCGTCATTGGTCAACATTTAGAGATCACTCAACACTATTATTTATATAGCTATGTAAGTTTATTGGGTCATGGTAAACAGAAATAAATAAAATCATCTCAAAATGCACTGAAACTTTATTCACAATAAATGTGAAGGTAAATGCAAATAAAAGATTGTTATAAATATTAAACAAGTTATTTTTTTAAATTGGATATACAATTTAGTTTTAGAAAACTTTAATTGAACTATCTCCAACTTGTAGCAATTTTTTAGCATCTGGAAATTTGTTCCCGTGCTCTGCGACAACTTGCAACAGATATTGCTTTTGCTCCTTATTTTTGGTGATGGAGCAGTTAAAATCTTGTACGAGCTTCACTTGTCTATTGGCTGAATCATTTACTACCTGGAGGTTTTTGACAAACTGTTTGGGATGTTGAAATTCTTCATTTTGTTTCCAATAATTTTGGGTCAACTGATCTTAGGAAGTTATGAAGAATGTCTAGAATATCAACGAACTTTAAAGTATTGGCTGTCATGAAATCATCTAAGTTTAATTTTCAACATATCTTGAGTCAAGTTTCACTTGATGGTGTAGTTTCTCATTTACTCATTTTTCTAGAGTTCCACCATCCTTTTCTTTATTCTGTTGTCAATGTTAGCATCAAAGAAGGCTTGGGCAATTAATTCTTCAATTAGGTACCATAAATGCCTGCAGAAAGCTACTGTATGGTGCTGTATTTCACAAGAGAGTTAATAAAATTGAGATAATTTGCTGGAGCTACAGTTGGATTCGAACTTGAAATCCAAGCCCTTGTGTAGAGCAAAGAGGCAAACATGCTGAGATCTCTGAGTGACCTCTCTTTTCTTTCAGTCATTTGAAACTGATTTTGGAACATCTATACTTTCATGGAATAAAGAATCTTGGCCATCCACTTGGCCTGGTGCATTGCTCCTGGAGCCATGAATCGAATACCACGTGGTGACTTGTCACCTAGAAAAATGATCATTAGTTCCAACAATTCGTGATAGTCATCTCTTGGCTCCTTCTTGGGAAACTTAAGAACTTCCAGTCTGAGTGTGTTTTGAGTTTTCAGTATTTTAGAACATATCTGGTCACTCATGGCAGTACTATAGCATTTCTGATCAATGCTGGACCACTTATGATGGAATTGTTTGAATTGACCAATTTCTGTGCCTCACGATGCTCCTAGATAGTGCATGAAAACATCTCTTAGAATTATACCATATATATGATGCCGACATGCAAGGTGAAGGAGATCTCTTCCAATTTCGATTAAATGGAAAGTAGCCAGATGACCAGTATTAGAAGCCGTTGTATCGAAACTCAATGCTTTGATATTGCCTTAAATGTCCCAGTCACTTAATGTTTTCATGACAGCTTCACTTGCTGCTTTTCTAGATCCACTGCACAACTTTAGCACTCCAAACAGCTGATTGACTTTATACTCTGACACTAAAACTGCTAACCTGTCTACCGATTTTTGCTTGGTGATGTCTGGCAACATTTTACAATCCCAGTGCACAGTTAATGGCACATCTGAAGGGTTGAATTCATCCTTGACATTATGAGCCACTTCTTTTTGGTTAGCAATTCTGCTTCTTCTTATTGATGACCTATTTATTGTAAAGTCTGATACATCATGCCCTAGAATTTGCACTGTCACTGCCAACAAATATGTTGCATCTTGGTCATTGATATTGGTGCAATCCAGAGCCAATGCGATAACTGATGAAATTATGTTGTGGAGCCTTTGTTTTTGGACTATGTATTAACATTTTTCAGTTCAAGGGCTTCATTACTCTCCTCTTCAGATGAGGACATAAACTCAATTGAGGCATAGTAACCAAATTTTCGTTTTTGGCATTTCTGCATGACAGCATCTTTCTTCTTCATAAGTTTTTCTTTCCATGGAACATTGTTCTTTTTTCGTCAGTACACAATCTGCTCTAGTCACGTATCCCTTTCTTTCACCATGCTGATCAATCAAGAATAAACGATCATCTTCTATCTTAATTAGCTTTGTGGCATTAGCATGAGCAATGTCAAAAAGATTATCAAGTTTCTCATGAAAAATTTTTCATATGAGTTGTAGTCTTTCATTATGAGTTCTTTTTTATTTTCTTCCATGAGTTAAATATTTTCTCTAACTTTTCAGTGGCACTGCACTCTATAGTTGTTGGTATATGAGCTATGGCTGAATAACTTCCCTGATGGTACACCTTGCACTATCTCTGATACTCATCTTCAGTGTCATATGTTTGTGAAAGAATACAGACAAAACTTGGCAACATGTTGGCAGCTTCCTGCCTGTATTTTTTCGTTAATTTGTCCCACAAGCCAGATCTTGATACACTTTCGTGTTTGAGTTTTACATGATGACAAAGCAATATTTTCAGAATCCTCCATATTAAAAGAAATTAATGAAATAAGTAAACAACTTCACAAAACAATGCCACAACAAAATCTAAAACCCTTGTGCATGTGCTTGTCTTTATATAGATGTTGCTAGTCAAAAAAGAGAATTTTGTGGAACTTTCCAGATCATTTTGTTCCATTGCAGAAATCGAGAATATTCTACACAATAAAACATTACTACTTGGATTTATAATTTAGTTATAATCAATTTTGCTATATTATTAATTGAATATCATGAATGAATTTAATTAATTATACATATGAATTTATTACTTTATATACATTCTCTATTCTTTTTCATTTAAACTATACATTTATAAATGTTCTAAAACCATCGCAGGCCCGTGCACTTTGGAGACCACCTTATTTGTCTTCTGTTAACATTTTTTTGATGTGATCAAAATGTAACTATCTTTTGATAAAAGTTAATATCAAGACATGGTTGATATCCAATAACAATTAGTAAACAGTAATGTAAGATAAAATAAATTCACGGAGACTTCATAACATGTTTTAATGTGATAAACATTTCAACTGCAGTTGACATCATAAGATACAAGCATTTTGTGTGCAACATTTTGAATGGCCCACTGGAAAAAATTGTGAATCATTGTGCATGGGGTTGTATGCAGATTTACACAAGGTGCAAATGAAGGGTTAAATGTAGAGGCATGTTAAGCTGATGTGTTCATGTTGTATGATGAAAGAAGGTAAAATATTGCAATTGTAAAGGTCAATTATTGTCATTATAAGGCTCTACTTCATTTTAAAACTGTATCATTATTTTATGAAATAGAGGTACAACTTAGATCAATTAAATTATTGTTGCTACTTAATGAAAATGTATCTCATGAGTAAAGTTTTGGTGTTGTCATGTGATGAATCCATTGTTGAAAAAACAAATAATATTGTTACCATCTAATTAAAAGTACAAGCCCATATATGTGGAAAGTACTGGAAAAATGTCAAAACCTATTCACTTAATGATCTTATACTTTAAAAGTAAACCCATTTTAAGTACTAGTATTTGTAATGATGAAATTTGGGAATGTTATCTAGTGGTAGATCAAGTCTTCTGTTATAGAAAGATTGTTAATTTTTTTTGTTTTTTCTTTATTTTTTTAAAACGATCTCATCTGTCTTTTTATAGTTTAATTTGGAAAAGGTGAATGTAAATTCATGTCGAATAGAAGTAGAGAAGATGAAAGACTATAATCGCCAGCATCTTCAACACATAATGGAAGATGAGAACAATCTCCAGGATTTGGTGAATCAACTGAAAAATTTAGTACTAGAAAAATTTACAGAAAAGAGGTGAGTTTCTGCCTAATATATAATATTGGAATACTAGCATTGATACTTCTTTTGTAAGAGTTTGAACTTAATATCAAATAATTCTGTAGCATGTCAGAGTTAAAAATGCACTATGTACATATTTAAGTGAGGTCTGTAAGATACTTAATATAAGACCCTAGGATTATTAGAAGAACATATTGGATAATAAAGTAGTTTTTTTTATTACAACAACTTAATCTTGTGAAGTGTAAGTATGGGCAATGTTAGGCTAAATTTTATTCTGGGTATTTCTATTACTTTTTTATGTGCCAACTTTATTTAGAAAAGTTTGAGCAACAAACTTATCTTTCTTCTGGTTTCCATCTGCTGTTTGCCATGGCAGGAGAGATCTGTATTGATTATAGAAATCCATCCGAGCAATATTGGCTGAAATGAATCAAACCATTTTGGAAAAGTATAAGAAAATAAATTTCGAAATGATTTGTCTGCTACATTTTTATCTAATTTTTTACTCATCTTTTTAATACCTTCTTGCACCTGTACAATAATTTCTTTCACAAGCCTACTACTGGTAATGATTGTAATATGTGTTGGCAAAGTCAGAAGGAAAGATTTTTCTTTTAATGTTCAGAAATTTTTAGAACTGACAAATATTTCTGCTCTTGTCCATGTGGATAAGGAATTTAGATCCACTCTTGTTTTAAAGAGCCTTATATGGTTTAGAAGTCTTAGAACTCTTTCACAGATACTTCTATCAATAACATTAGTTTATAAAATTCTTTAAAATATCTGCAGCTGTTAGCAACCTTTCTTGATGATTAATGGACAATAGAAATAATGGTTAGTATAGACAAAACATCTTGGTAAAATATTACAGGATGACTCCTGCTTATTCATTTCTGGTTTCCAAGAGATTCCAAATGTTTAGCCTTTGGCCAATGGAAGCTGAACAATTAACACCAAAGAACTTTTTTTTGGGGGGGGTAGGGGGGCATCACATTAATTGTAAATACTCAGTGGAGGTCAGAGTGTGCATGCCACAACCTTTTACAGTGTGCCATTGAACATGGTATAATATATTTAATGCCAGAGTTACCAACTGTTCACTTTACTCTACGTTGCTGATTTAGCAACGGTTTATGGTAGAGGACAGAAAATACCTGATATATTATACAGGGATACTGAAAAAAAGATAGATATGTATTTTGGAAGTCCTAGATGCTATGCAAATGGAACATAAAAACTGTAGAATGGACAAAAATATCTTTATTCTTCCTATGAACATCACCTTGCACTCCCACTTGTCAGAGTCTGAGTAAGACTGATGTCAATTTATAGACATATCTTGAATACAGATACTTTTGGAATAGGTATTTCTTTTATGCACAACAAACATGTACATTTTACTAACAGTTTACTATGTAATGTAGATACATGAAAATTTGGAGTTATAGTCACTATTCCTTTTCCTGTACAGGGCTTGTCCGTTGGATCTGCCTTGGGCACATTTGGCTAAATTGGCATAGTTACAAGGATTCACGAGTTGTTATCAGATGAGAGGGCTGCATATTTGTAATTCTTTGTATGGAAACACTAGTCATGGAGCCAACATTACAACCTTTGTATTGTACCAGATCCATAGGTGACATCAATGCTGTTATCAGAATCACACCTATTATTTTCTTTAATATCTTGATAAAATACAAAATAAAATTTAGTATAGGAACTGAAAGACTTTTATGCATAAAATGTTTTTTGGCACTTTTCATTCGGTGTAAAGAGACTAGTTTTAATGTTGGATGTTTCCATAGATGTATAATGATCTGGATTGTTTGCTCATTTTTCAGGGTTTTTTCTGAATAATGGAAGAATAACTTAATTCAGATTTTAACCTTGCCAACAATTCATTATTTGATTTAACAATAATTTTCCAACATTAAAATTACTGTTTGCTGAATATCAATACGAACTTTAATAAGATGCTTGACAAACTTTTGAGGAGAGAAAGTTCTCCTTTATAACCCATTTTTAAACAAACAGCACTCATGAGCTATTTTCTGGCAAGTTTCCATACATTCCTGTGTTCCATACTTAACTGTTGTGTGGAGTAACAAACAGCAACAGATATGAAACACAAGAATTTGATTTAATAAATAGATATAATTAAAAACTAAATCAGTAACAAACAAACAGAACGTTGAGAACTCGGAATAATGAGTAATTTAAAAATAGATGTATTAAGGAAGTTTTTATAATGATAATACTGATCTTCTATACTTAGTGTCCTAGGTTAGTGAAATTTAACTAAACAAGGGATAAAACAAGTATAATTTAGATAAATTAACAGCTGATTAACTGGCCTCATACAATTATCCTTTATGAAGATTTCAAAAAATCTATTTAGACTGTTGTTGTTGTTGTCATTATGCTGTTCCCTTTTTCATGCTTTAATAATTCCCAAATTGCCCTAGGATAGTACTTGGCAAAAGTTTGAGTGGTGTCTAGCAATGTTTGAACCCTGCACACAGTTATGAAGTGTCTGATATATTGTAAGTAATCCTCTTTACTCTGATTGTATAGCCACAATAGGGTTTCCAACAACAACAAAGCAGTTTACCATCAATACAGAAGTTAATCTCACTGTAGAGTCCACAGTCGAGCCACCAACTTGTAAGAATGTGCTTTCATTATAACTTAGTCTCTCCTCCATTCCTCGCTGTGCTTTTATAGGTTTCAGTAGCTCATTTTGGGGTCACGAGTTTTGTGTAATCCACCAAGTCTGTAGCAAGAGAGTTGAACTGTTTTTTTACCTTCATAACTATATTATTTTTATTTGTTGTTTAATTAGTGCTATTATGTGAGTGGAAAAAAAACAATTACATTATGGGACCTGAAACTCTAAAATAACATACCCAGGCAGCTTATAAAATTATATACATATATTTATTTATTTTTTCAACTCGCAAAACATTTGCAGTAATTTTCATGCCATTTGCTTGAATCTTTCTCAATATATCATATTCACAAATACAAATATCAGTAGCAAAAGCCATCCATGTGCCCCGGGATAATACACAACATAGTAAAGTGAGATCTACTTCTGGAAACAATATGGGTTGCAGTTGTATTTCCATTCAATTGTTGCATATCTCAAGCAGCTTGAGAATGAAACAGGTCTTCATGCTGTTCTATACAAAACATATTGATCAAGTAGCCAGATGTAGAACCCATGTATTTCTGTACTATTGTACATTTGAAACTGGCACTGAGAAACTGTTATCCTCATATGATAAATGGGTTTTAAAAGCATGCAGGGAGGATTAGTGTGTTGTGGACATGACACCCTTACCACTGAACTTTTTTGCATTGAAATTATGTAATGCAACTATTGTAAAAATACATTGTTGTCAGGTAGAGCCTGAGTGGAATTTGTCACATGAGACTGTAATGATGTGGTGAGGTGAGGCTCCAAAATCATTTTAATATAACATGCTTGACATCCACAGACATACTTTGTTTTATTCAATTTTATATATGTGTAGTGGGTACATAGTACATACCCTATTCCTCTGTATTCCCTCCTAAAAAATTAAACATGTTTCTAAGCTCATATACTAGTTTCAGCCTGAGATATTACTTTTCATAGTATGACTAGTCAAGGAAATTATCTGTTGTTTCATAAAATGCTGTTTCTTTATGTTTTTTGTGACCTTATGACTGTTGCATGGAGTGGGAATATTTTCTAATTCCAGTGGCCATTTTCTGATTTATCAGCTGCAGAGAGAATGTGTATTGTAAATGCAATTTTGGCACTCTCACATCAGATTTAATCCAAATTTTGAGGAAGATTGCTCATTTCACATTTGAGAATGTAAAGACTTACTGCCAATTTTTGGTCCTTGTTTTGGTATACTGGTGGTCTTGCACATTTAAATTTAATTTCAAGTTAAGCTTGAATTAATCTTTTTTAATACTAGATACAGAATATTTCACTTTCTTTTAATTTTTCAGTATTTTTCAAAGCAATAGTCATACTGCCACAGACAATCAATATTTTAATCAGCCATTCTTCTGATTTTGCTCAAAATAAATCCTTTTATATCATTCAGACTTCAACAATGTGTCTTGTTTCTGTCATTTCACGTGTAACAAATTGCAACATTCATAATTACAAATATTACATCTATGAACTTCTGTGTCTTGTGGAGAACTGCGTGCTGGGACTATCTTTGAATTACTTCATCTATGTAGTATAGTTATTGTCCTTGTGAACTCACAGTATTTTTGGTACCCTAAAATACCATTCTGTATTTCAAAGTTTATAAGAAAACGCCTGCATTTGAAGAATTGACAGAATTATTAGAAAATGTAAGATTTATTTTTCAGAATTCAACATTAAAAGAGAAGCAGAGGGCATTTTGACTTCATCATTTCTTGAATTTTTGACAACTGTCATTGTATGTATGATCTATAATTATTGTGTGTTTAAGTTTTCTTGCAGTACTTCATTCCTCTTAGTATGATAATATTAAGTATTTTTTTACTGTAGTCATACTGATTTGTCTGACAAGCATCTGAAGAAGATACTTCTCTTGAATAAGGTGAGATAGTTATTAAACATTTATACGGCTTTTAAACCATTGTATACAATTCTTTAATAGAAAAAGAAGTACAAATATATTGTGTGAATTGATATGGTGTGATAATTTTGTATATGAATTAGTACTGTGTTTTTTTTTTTTACGTATACATCAGCATGAACAGATAGTTAGGAAAATATTATTTTTCATACATATTTTGCTTACCTGGAATACGAGGCATGGTGGCTATGGTGTGTGACTCGCGATCTACATGTTGCAGATTTAATTCAATCACCAAATGCTCACTCTTTCAGCTGTGAAGGTGTTATAATATGAGAATCGGTTCCACTGTTTGGTTAGAGTAGCCAAAGGGTTGATGGTGGATGATGTTGACTAGACTAGCTGCCTTCTCTCTGTAGTCTTTCACTTCTAACTTAGAGACGGTCCTTGAGAAACTTTTCAAAAAGTTCATTACACACAAAAAACCTTGAATTTGCTTGTGATCTCATGCTTTTTGAAGAATTTTATGTAAAATAAACACTGAATAAATGTATTGATGAAATAGATATCTGAGTGTAGAATAAGAATCTGTTTTACATATAAGTATCTGTAAAGACAAAATAAAAATGTTTATGTTTATTGGTTAGCCTTTTATCTTTAGTTATTCTGTTTAATTAGTACTAAATTAAAAGTACTTTTGGAAGATGTTTAATACGTAGAAAAAATAATTAGTTCTTGAGTCTGAAGTATGTATAATTAACTAAGTTCCAGATACAATATACTTGAAAGAGTTTTAAGTTAAATATTGTTTGCAAAACCAATGAAATTTGATTAATATTTGCAGTGATTATTTATGATTCATATTATGTCATCAGTTATTACTGAACTGAGGTAATAACTATCAGTATCACCAATCATCAGTAATAAGTCAATACTAGATACAATGTTGCTACACATGTAAGAAACAAATAAAATTTTAATAATAATTTCACTTTTTTATGGCAAGGTAATAGAACTTTATATAAGTGATGCTGCAGATTCTATGTAGCACTATGTAATACTTTCCCAACATGGTTTGCACGATGACTGTGATTATACACTGTTGTCTAATACGACCATTTTTATTGTAATAAGTTTCTCCAACAGATGATGTGGTCGAATTTTAAACCACTCATCTCAACAAACATTCTAAATACCCCTAATTTCTGTGAACTTTGCTATTAAAGAGCAGCTTAAGCAGACACAATAGCTTTTGGAGCTGCATCAAATAACTTGACAGGCACATTGTTGAATGGAACTGCTATGATTGTTTGACTATCTTTCTCTTGAATGCAGCTGCTGATTTTAAAGTGTGGCTGGAAGCTTGTGTGTCTTTGTCAGTTTTAAACCCTTGTTTATTATCTTGTTAATGGTTCCAGGAGATACCCAGCTTTATTGAAGTAGGTTTTGGAGTTTTGTTTTGTAACAATGACATTCTAATTGTGGCTGAGTGTTGTTTTGTATTGGCATGAGACATCGTTTTAGAGCTCAATGCTGTTTAAATGTTTGTACTTTCACGAAAAAATTAAAGACTTCTTTGAAATGTGTCCTTTGGCATTACATTGCTTAACAATTTCATTGTATGAATATTTCCTCGTGAAAAGGCTTTTTATATTTTTCTGTAATCACAAGTCTGCTTATGGCAGTATTGCACTGTTTAATGATTGAGAATTTGTTAGGAACTAAATGTATAGATGCTGAAAGCATCATCTGCTGTGCCATGTCTTACATTTGTGGCAACACACCACTGTATTAGTAAGTACAAGTCACTCAAATAAAGTGAAAATAACTTATCTTTATTATTTTATAGGTTTTATTTCATAGTGCATTAGAATACTGTGATAATGGAACTAACAAACACATCTTCTTTTATAATTTCAATGTTGGAAACAGAGCTCAGGTTAGTGTTTGATATGTTTGTAAGACTGTTTCATGGAAACATTTTCACAAGCTCTAGTTTCTTTCCTTGTTTTTATACATGTTGACAAAACATTTCCTGATGCTTCTTTGTTGCATATGTTAATATTGGCATAATAAAACAGTTCTTTTAATATGTGAAATCTTTGCAGTAAATTTACGTATTACTAACAAAGATCTGGCTAGGAATCTTTGTGCAGTGCATGAGTTAACTTTTATTGGAGGATAATATTCATAGTAGTATATAAATTAGTTTGTCTAAAAAAATCTTTTATTCTACTGCAAAATTCGCATTCATGGAAGGTACTATTTCCCCAAGTATCTGATTTACATGTCAATTATAATTACAAACTTGACTAGACATGCGAAACTACAGTTTGGGAACCACTGTGCTAGAGCATCAAGGACTTACATTTTAGATTTTATTATACACTAGCTGAATTACTCGTTCCGTGCACAGGTGTCCAAAGTACTTGAAATAGGTATTTAAAAACACAAAGAAATTTCTTTTTAGAACATTTGTTTAAAAAATTCAATTTTCATAACATTTCAATTTTTATCTAAACCTTTGATTTTCAAACACAAATTACACAATGTAAATTAAAGCTTCTTGATATACCATAGTGATGAGCTGCCAAATGTAATATTTGCCTTCTTCTATTTCTTTCCCCTTCAGTTTCTCTTAAACTTCTTGATATAGCTGACTCCCTCATTCCTTCAAGCCTTTCGTTTCTTAATTCATCAGATTCTTGTGAGTGTATTTCAGCTGTTCTAACTCTTTCAGCTTCAAGCCTTACTTCTCTTTCTTCCTGTGATCTATTTCTCCTCCTACTGGCTTTTCTAACTCTTGCAGCTTTTAGCCTTGCTGTTCTTTCCTCTTGTTATTCATTTCTACTTCATTCCGCTTTTCCTGCAGCCTCTGAACTATTTTATTGAAAGAGATTTTGATGTGGCTTTTCTTGGCATTTTAAAGGTTAAGCATACATATTACTTTTCTCCTAAAGGGCTAATAATCAAATGAGAGCTAAAGTCATTTACATTGAATTTTAAACAAAGGGAAGTGATCAGTCCTTTATATCAGTTTCTTGCTAGAGAAGTGATCGGTATAATACTTTTTAATACTTAATACTTTTTAAATATACTATGTTCATTACAGTTACACATAAAAATAACACAACAGTAGTCTACTGCATTCTATTGCAAATGAAAGTTTTTAATGGCCAAAATCTCTTTGATTCCCAAAACAAAGTAATTTTCGACGGTTTAATAATTTTAAACTTCACTATTGTTAACATAATATCACTGAAAGTTAAAACACACTAAACACTCATTAACACTTCTGCACACTTTGTCCAATGCCAAATTACTTTGAGACTGTGGTGAAATTCCATCTACCAATCTTTTTAAAACACAGAGCACTGATACATGTAGATGAAGTTTGAGTAGTTTGTCCTACCCATTCTCTGTTTAAACACAAAATAGTTCCTTATTTTAATGATAGATTTAACTTAAACCTTAAATTTTAAGAATCACTGCACAATAAAGTATTGAGTCTTGTTTGTTTTTTCAAGGCATATTTACCAGTGAATTGTAGTGTTATAGGAAGAGTCATAAACCTAAAAATGCCACAGTAGAGTGAGCCACACATTCAGCCTTACATTGAAAAAGAGGGACATATTTGATCATTAGCAAAATTAACCCAGAAAAGTGGTTCTGTCTCAATAAAGTTTCATGAGCTTTGAAGATTTCTTTTACAGTAGAATTTCCCACTGTTTAGAGAAAAGGAACAGACAGTGTTACAATATTACAACAAAAAAGAAAAATACATAAATATGTGACATGTTGCAAGTTGTTTGGCAAAATCAAATGTAAACTTTTTTTGTGGGAAACCTGGTGGGAATTTTGACCCCTTCATGTTTCTTGTGGGGACTGTAGGAGTCACCATGCCAAGTTTGGTGGAGATTGATCAAGTAGTGTGTGAGGAGTTAGCAGACAGAGAAACATACAATTTTGCTTCTATATAGAGATTAGATGGGGGTCCAACACCCCTTCCTCTTGTCAGCCTGTATCACCTTGTCAAGTTGTGCTGACTTAGTAGTTTTTTGAAATTAGACTGGTGTTCACCTCCCACACCCTCATGTACTTCCTCATGTCATCCTGTATTATTGTGTCAAGTTTGGTGCTGATTGATCAAGAAATGAGGAAATGTATAAGGAACAGATATGCACACACACACACACATTGATGGTTATTTATATAGATTATATGGGGTCCACCCCTCCTCTTTCATGTCATTCTGTTTCACTGTGTCAAGTTGTGCTGATTTGGTAGTTTTTCCAGAATTAGATTTGGGTCCAACCCCTACTAGGAAGTTTGACCCCTCCATGTTACTTCTTGGGACTGTAGGAGTTGCATGCCAAATTTGGTGGAGATTGTTCAAATAGTGTGCAAGGAGTTAGAGAGACAAATATTATTTTGCTTTATATATATATATATATATATGTAGTTTTTGGGGGTTTTCTCTTTGGACTGTCTTCCTGGCTTTTGCTTTTTTAGCTTACTAAGCTGAAGAAGCGTGCTTTAACTTGGGCATTTTCAAAATTGAAACATGTGGTGACTAAACCATACGCATTATTACAGAGTTGTAGCTGAGGGTTCCAAATGGTCAAAATTTGGTGATGTTGCAGTAATGTGTCTTCTTGACAACCAAGAAAATGTTATGGGGAATTTCAGTCAATTATTATGATTTTTATGCACCATCAACACCAAGCATAGTGTATACCCCATTCAATTTTATTACTTGTCATATTCTCTACCAACCTACCTTCAACTATAATCTAACACTATTATATGCCCAAAGTCATTGGACAGACAGAATTTTGACTCCTCCATGTTACTTCTGGGGACCATAGGAGTCACCACGCCAAGTTTGGTGGAGATTGATTAACTAGTGTGCAAGGAGTTAGCAGACAAACATGCAACAGATTTTGCTTTTATATATATACACCTGGAAAAAAGTTAAGCACCCCCAAATATTTTTCAGGATTGCTTATTGAAAATAAG